CCTGCAGCCGAGCCAGAGATCGGCTCGGCCCGGCCCGGGCCCGAGGAAAACCTTCCCCAGGCCCCTCCATCTCCCGGCCGGGAGACGGGGCAGGCCCGGCCCCATCCCCGCCCGGCCGCATGGCCTGGGCAGGGACGGGAGGCCTGGAGCTCCGCCACCCTCCACAGCCAGAAAAACAAAGAGAACCCAGAGAGCTCTGCTTTTACATTTTAAGGTAGGGTTCACAAGTTGATCCCACTTTTCAATGGCCTAAACTGCTGTCAATTCCCAGCAATGACCGATAATTGGTCAGGAGAAAAGACTCCAAACACTTCCCAGCAACTCCAACTCCCTTAAAGGTAAAGTAACTCCATGACACATGGGTAAGGCAGGCATGGTTCTGGCCATGGATAGTGCTTGCAGAAGTTAATTGGTGTACTTTGCCAGGGACAGTCCTTAAAGAAATGTCCAGTCTCTCCACAATTAAAATATTTTTGATTGTCCTTGGCTACTGCTGCAAATGCCCCAGTCACCCTGTCTACATTCCCCTTAGTCACAGCCTGCGCCACAGTGTTTTCTGATGACATTTCATTTCATTTTTTCTGTTTTAAAGAAATAAAAATTGGAAACCATTAAAAAATAACAAAGCATTTGTAAATTTACTATTCTTACAGATTATTATGTATGGATTACAAAACATATTATCACATTGTGCAAGTGTTACTTATGTTCCAAAGCATATCAGTGTTAATTTGGTTATAACCTTTGAGAAACATTGGTTGATTGGTTGACATACTGCTTACATGTCATTTCAATGTCAAACATTTGCATGTCCTATGTGTTGTATACCAGTATTTTTAGTCACTTGAATGCCCCAGCATAAAATATCTGCATACACATTCTGACACACGTGTGTGACATGTTGTGTTTTTAACTGCTTCACTATTGGTTGTATTTCCAAGGTGAAAATGTTTGTTACTGTCCAGGCTTTGTAGGTGTTCGATGTATTTTTCCTAGTGGAGCTCAATGATTTTTGTCTTGTGTGTTTTGATTTGTCACTGTTGTTTTCAATATTTGCTGTCGTTCCGATTGGGAACGGCTAGAAAGAACGACACAAACTCTCAAGGGAGTTTCAACACGAGAATTCTCTGGTTTATTACTTCAGGCCTGCTTTTTATAGACTGGTACGTGGAAGGTACAGAAAGGAAACTCCTATTGGTTAACAAAGTGCTACATCACCATCATTGGTCAGGGGGGCCCATCACCCCCCTGGCCTTGTCCTGCAAGAGAAAACAAGACTGCAAAACAACACCTGCAAGGCTGTTTAGTGTCCCTGAGAATTGTTTTAATTCCTTCTCATATTTTTTCCCAGGCTACTTTCTCAGGCAGCTTGAGGAGCCATGCGGCCTGTAATTTGTACAGGCACTGTGGTTTAGATTTAGCATCCATAATTTGCAGCAGGGATTTCCTTTGGTATAAAATAGACTTCATTAGACTTTCCTCTCTAAGTGCAGGAAAACTTGTCTTCTGTCAAAAGATAGATACGGTTTTTGTGTTTGTTCTGGCTTAATTCTTTATTTTATATGTTCATTTATGTCCACTGTTCTCCCACATTATTTAATGCTGGCAGTAGATTTTTCTTCCTTGCTTTTTCTATCTTCCTGCCACAGGTCTGTTGATACAGCTGTGTCAGTCTGAAGGATTATTCATTTTAGGGAGTTGTCAATAAAAGGAGTTTAGATGGTGTTGAATAACACTATGTTTCCTTTTCCACTAAAATACAAACACAATGTCTTTTAATGCCCTTGTGTGTTGTGCTGTGCCTCATGCATCTTTGTGGTTGTGATTGGAATGTGAATGTTAGTGGTTCTAAGCAGTTAGAGGAGGTATAAAGAGTGTAATAATTCTAGCACTGGTGTCTCATACCAAATGCTCCACAAAGGAAAACAAAATGCCAATTTCATGAAAGCACATTTTGTGCATATTAGATTTAGTTCTTTGAGTTTGCTGTTGTTATTCTGGGCTGCTTTGATAGTAATGAAGAGTGGATATCAGTGCAAAATACCTGTGAATTTCCATTCCCTCCCCTTTTTTAGTCCTCTGTCTCAGTATTCTCAAGGGAGTGGAATTTGTGCTTAATATATTATAAAGTTTGTCTGTATCTTACTGCTGTTATTTTAATGAAGGATTAAAATTACTCCTAGAGTATGCATATTTTCATGCTTTGACACATAGGACACATCCTGTTATGATGATGTAGGCAGCTGAGCTTTGGTGTTTGTAGTCCTCCAGGGTACCCACAGCAGAATCAGTGGTGTGATGTGCAGCAGCTGTTATCTGAATCATATGTGTCGGCTTTACAACTGTAAAGAGCAGAAGTAAAACATATGTAGTCACAACAGAGCACCAATATTATAATTTCATGTAAAGGAGAAGAATTGCTTTGGGAAAAATGGGAGATGAATGAGAGATGTTGCCGTGTAGGTGCCTAATTAATCCACCCATTTCATATTTCAGTAGTTTAAAATTCTACCAAGATCCAGTAGAACATGCTTTTTCCCTATAGTCAAAACAATTTTCTTGGTAGTAGGGGGAAAAAACCCACCAGCCAGATTTTTCAGATATTCCTGTTGTGAAAATTTCAGGGTCATGTGTAGCTTGACTCTTTGTGGCTAGAGAAGTCTCTGACATGGATGAAACTCTAAGAGCACTTATATATTACAGCATCCATTATTCTCAAAAAAGGCCAGAAAATAAAAGTAAGGGGCAATATTTTCATGTTGCATTCCTGTTTATCTGCTAGGGAAGTTCATTTAAACCTCACAAATTGATCAAGGTTTTTTCTTTAAAGAATGATTCAGGGATTTTTTCTGTCTTGCAGTCTTATCACTTGATCAGTAAAGTCCATCAACAGTGGAGCTTGTCTAGGCATTGAATTGTGATTCTTTCCGTCTGCAATTACACAAAGATTCATAGATAACTTTGTGTCATATGAACCTGCTTTGTTGCTGACAGGAATTTGAACAAATTCCAATTGCTCTGAACAAACAATCAAGAAATTTCCTCTAATGATGCAATTTTATAACACAAAAAAATCTAAGTAGATTAGCTTTAAATGCTAATTATGAAGCAGTTTCTTGTGTTCCTATTAATCTTGTTACTTTGTTTATTCTCTAAGCTCTTTAATGCAAGGAAGTGTAACTGAAGGATGTCAAAGTACATCTCCATTAGTAGCACTCTGTTGGTTTGCCTGGTGCATTTTGTCCAAGCAGCACAATTCAATCAATACATTCATTGCCTGGGAGACAAGAGTCTCTATGGCAAGCCAGCTTCCATGTACACTTCAAAATACTCTAAAATTATTCCTCTGTTCAATTGAATTCTGTGCTTCTGAGGCGGGAGGGAGCAGGATCAGTTACCATTGTCAAATTTTGTACATTACCTGTGTGTTAAGGGTTCAAACTCTGGTTGTGAGTTCATAAAAAGAACATCAGCTGGTTCACACAGGCAGATCTGGGGAAACACCTCCTGTTTGCCTGTCAGCCAAGATTCCTGTGATGTTCTTTGCAGGCACTTGGCACAGCTACAGAGTAAGGGCTAAGTTCTGCTTTACTCTTAAAACACAGGTTCATTTTCTTTATGACTAATAAATATTTTCTCCACTTCTGCAACTTTACTTTTCTGCATAGAATAACTTTCAGGATATTTGCTACTGTGTTGATTGATCTGCGAGTTAATATTAATTAGGCAATAGCATATAATTCTTTGTGCCGAGTTATGATTATTAAAATAATTTCTAAATTAAATTTGGAGGTTGAGCATTAACACAGTAAATAGCTATGATGGGTCTTTTATTGTTTTAAAAGAAAATACCAGAAAAGATACTGTATATCTTGTCAAATTGATCTGATAAAGAACACAAACCAAAATGATGCTGTTGGTGAATCACCATTAAGTTAGAAATAAAATTATATTATAATATATTTACATATATTATATGTAAATGAAGGACAGACCAGGGATATTGCTGACAATTCATACACTCTGATAGTTAACTGAAATTAGTTAAATTTGTTCAAAGCTTTCTACAAATGTGGGTAACCCATCTCGTGAACTATTTGGTTTAGGTAATTGGTATTTGGTTTAGGTAATTTTCTGGTTTCATGCTCAGCATTTATTGAGAGGTGTACAGTAGTCCTTTAGATATTTTTCAAAATTTATAGGAAGAATTGTTGGATCTCTTCAGAAAATGCAGAATCAGACTGAATCAAGATTAGTGGTTGTTTATGGAAAGTGAAGCCTCCAGGGTAATGCAGCAGGTGAATAGGTTGCAATGTTTGAGAGCAGCTCTATTTGATTTGCAATTGGAGTATAGAAATGTAAGTTATACCACCAGGAATGAAACCCAGAGTAGCTTTGTTTCATAATATTTGAATGAGGGTTTTTTTCATTATTAATAAAAGATACACCAATAGAGATTGATATCCTGTACATCCAGTGTTAGAATTAGAAAGAGTCTTAATAAAATGGAATTAATTTTTGGCTTTTGAAGAAAAGCCTGACTTCTTTTTTGTGCTTGTCCTAGCTGTATGAAATCTTTTACAGTGCTGAAAATTCGCTGGTAAAAGGATGATTATTATTCTCTTGTTGTTATTACTATTATTGTTGTTATTATTATTTAAAACATCCGGAGCACATATTTGCACTAACAGACCATTTCTGAAACAATAGGTCTCTAATTTTGCTTTTCTTGCAAATTAATCCAGAAACATTTTTAACAGATTTCACATCTCTTTAAAGACTTTTTTTTATTCATAAACTGTACTAGAGCCAGCATCCTGACTAGATGCAAACCTGCTATGAAATTGATATTTTTTTTTACTCCTTTTTATTTTTTTTTTAACAGTTACTCAGTTCTTACGGGTCTGCACATTATAGTCTAACTGAATCAATTTTATTTAAGTGCACAGAAGTTGGTCATGTTTAACTTGTGGTGTTTACCTTTCTTTGCTTCCTTATAGGTATATTCGAATTGTTGGGACCCACAATACAGTGAACAAAGTTTTCCATATTGTGGCATTTGAATGCATGTTCACAAACAAATCCTTTACTCTTGAGAAGGGTCTGATAGGTAAGAGATAAAAACCATTTTTCTTTTTCATGAACTGTTGTAAACACTTGTCTTTTAAAGCTGGCCATTACTGCGCTCTACATCTGTTTCCATACAGAAATCTCTAAATTGATTTAAACAGTGTTGTAAGCATAGAATTAGTTGGCTGGTTCTTACAACTTCTATGAAATTCCAGTACTGTGGGTTAATTAATGATGCTGCAGGAATGCTGAAATTGAAATTAACCACTGCTGACAAACCCACTGGTAGCCGAGTCAGTCAGTGCTGGCAATGTGATTTTTCTTTGCATGTCACAGTATGGTTGCTCATGCCTCCCAGTAGGTTAGCCTGAATTCTCTTACAGGAAAAGACTAAACACAGCTATTTATTGTAGTGATGATGGATTTGGACATTTAGGGCATCTTATACAGCCTGGTTACAGCTGCTGAAAGTAAACTCTCATGTATTGATTTCCTCTCCAAAGAGCCATAGAGATGCTTAGCCATGGCAGAACATACTTACTGGCTATGCTGCTATTATACTCAGAACACCACACTGATGGAGCTCTCAGCTCTGGACAGTTTGTATTACACTGGTTTAAGTAAATTTATGTTACTTAAGGTAGAAATCCCCAACAGTTCAATGGTACTGAATGATGAAATGTGTCACAGAAAGACTTAATATTGATTTTTTTTTTAAATGGTTCAAATGGGTTGGTTTCTGTGCTTTCTTCCGTATAAACTCACAGAAGTCAGATCCTGAAGTTAACTGGGGAGAGAGTATTTAGTAGTTGTCTAGGCAGAATTTCCTACAGTGTATTACTTATGGCATAAAATCAAGAATTTCAGCAAAATTTTCAGAGTTCATGCTGGTTTTAAACATATATTTAAATTTTAAATATGTACCTGTGACAGATGGAAGGGAAAACAGTTTTCAAAATAGGATGCAAAGGAAGATTTTTAATAAGACATAGTCACTTTAAATTTTTTTTTGAGAAAACTATAGTATTTAACCATGAAAAACCAAGACCCAATTCCTCCAGCCTGTTCCCTGTGCATTATACAAAGGCAAATCAAAAGCCTTCCTTTTGTTTTAGGTAGTGTGCAAGTAGCATTGCAATTGCTATTGACTACAAAATAGAATAAGCAGTAAAGAACTGCTTTAAAAGAAAACATCTCCCTTCAGTAAGCTAGTTAGTAGAGAAACAAAGTAGCTCAGATTTGATAAACCTTTTCAGCTAAATTTCATAGTTAGGACTGCCAGCTATGAATTTTTAGAAACTTCATACAAAATCAGTGTGTACGAATATTTGTTCACATTTTATTTCAGGTGATCAAACTTATTTAGTAAATGCTGAATTTGGGACTTAAGTAATTTTTTTTTGAGTGTTAACGGAAAGATTGTTTGATCATAAGTAGGCAAGACAGAGAATCTGTGCATGTTTGTGTAAGTGAACTTAGAAGTGACCCATCTTTCATAGACTCAATTATTTTTTTCTGGTTGAGTGATCAGTCTGGTGAGACAAACTATTTGATCTATTTTAACATTTCTTAAGTTTCAAGGGTAATCTAGGGAATGGAGACTTTATAAGGTTTTATTAAAAATTCTCCCCTTGTGACAGTGTTTTTGTAGAATCTTATAGGTCAGCAGGGTCTGGGCAGTGTAAGTGAGGGTTTCTGGTGTTAATGTTGCTTGTTAATCGAGGGCAGCTTTGCTGTTGTTCAGTGTGAGTCAGTCAAGCTGTTGTATGCATAACTCATTTGAAGCGATCAGCAATAAGGGAAGAGAGGCCTGTAGGTTTTCACAGCTTTTTATGCTTAAGGGATGTTAGTCAATACAATTGATAGAAAATTAAAAGTAAGAATTTGGGGAGTAGTTAATTGAAAGTAGGATGTGGATAGTCTTCCAACTGTCAGTGAGGCACTAGCAGTTGTATACATGACCCTGCAGAGTTTATGTTGAGAGAAATACAAATGGAAAGATTTGGGGACTATTTGGGGCCTGTCCAGCTGTGAAATGGAGCAGGGGCACCTCTGACTGTTCCATCAGAATTTTTGGCCATTACTCCAGTATTGCATATTCAAAAATATTCTCAACAAGTTAAATACAGCAAAAAGGTATTATATCCATTTAATGCTTTTTTTTCATACCTCTGATGAGTAACATAAGGTGCCATATTGTATGACCCTGAGTTCAAGGACCTCTGTCTAAGGTCCACTTGTGTAAAAACTCAGTATGAATACCAGTGTGTTGGCACAGATTTATTTTATTGCTCTGATGAGGATTTGTAATGTTTGTTTCTGTTTCTGAAGTGACCAGATAGGATTAAAGTGAATTGAAAGCAATTAGGAAAAAATAACAAAATATATGAAAGTGCATTAATCAGAGTAGATTGCTTTTAAGCTTAACTGAGTAGAGAAACTTTCATCGTAAACCCTTGAAAAGCAGTTCATTGGGTTCACTGCTTATCCCATATGGTATTAAATACAGTATTAAATTAGGTTAGAACTAACACAGATGCTGTTTCTATACCCTGTTTAATAAAACACTGAAGTATTGGTTAACCCTTGAAGGCCAAAAGGTCCTTTCAGAAAGACTATGTGACCCCTACTTCTACCAAAACAACACTGAAGATAATATGTGAAAGACTTTGTCCTTTGAAAACTCACTCCAAAGAAATGAGGCCTCTGAGGTATTTGGTTAGAGACCAATTATGTGGAGACTTGAGTAATTATTTATTTATTTTTTGTGAAAGACATTCAACTTGATCAACAAATAATAAAAATGAAGTGCTGTTTTGTGATAACAATATAATGTTGTCTTTTTGTGTACAAGGTTTTAATGAAAAATTCTTAACTTGACATATTACAATTAACATTTAATGTGGAAGATTATTTATATAGTTACTTTGTACAATACTGGATGTGTTATCAACATGACTCAGTGGTAGCTGAGTAGGAGTTTTGAAGGAGAAGTAGCAGAAAATACTCTTTATAGCACTGTCTGGTGTTTAAGTATCGTTTTACAGTTTCCTGTCTTGTGAAATGAGGTGATAGAAAGGAATGTAATCATATGAAATTATTTCCCTAACGCAGATGTTAAGGTTGAAATGTTTTTTTCTTTTTGGCATAGTATTATCTTTAAATGTGTAAGTTAACAATTTTACATATTAAATTCATGATATTAACATAACTCTTTCATTTAACAATCATGAAAATATTCTTTGATCTCACAATCATAGTGCTTGCTTATAATGAACTTCTGCTTATGAAATTTTGAATGGTCTTTAGCCATTAATTTTTAATCTAGAATCCAAAACAAAATAATATTTTCACAAATAAGAGGCATACTCCTTTGGAAGCAGTACCTGGTGTCATGCAATGTATTGTAAAATGTTCTAATCTGCCCAGTGGCAAGAAGTTACAACAGCAGTTAAACGACTGCTTCTGTGCAAGGCCTCTTTAGGTTTCTGGGCATTTTTTTCCCACATTAGTAGAGGAAGAAAATCGTCTTTTCTGCCTCAAATGAAAGAACAAATTATAACCTCAGTCCTTTAATCACTACTCAATGCTGAGGGGCATTATGGGGGCTTGGCCAACCATCTGTCTGATTATGAGCCTGGTGAAGGTCATTGGGAGTGCAATGTGTATTGGTTTTCCATGAAGCCGTGTTGGTCTGAAGTCTCAGTCTATCAGACTGTCCTGTAACTTATACATTACACATGAAAGACATAGCAGTGAATAATGACTGAAGAGCAGAAGATGGATGTAAAACAATGGAATGTCCTTGGTCACCCTCTGGGGAATGCTGTTCAGTAATTAGGAACCATCGTGAACCTTCATTTGTATGCTGTTCAATGCCTTAGGAGAACTTGTTTTAAAAGGGATAAAATGATACTAATAAAAATCAATTTGTCTTTTAATCTGGCAGTTATTTAGGAAAAAAAAAACAACAAACCAAACAAAACTGAATGTGTAACAGGGAGAAACCAGTCATACCAGTTTCCTAGTGTGTGCTTCAGCTTTATAAAAGATTGCTTTCTCTCCACAAGGAAGCAGTGAGAGATGCTGGTTTTTGTCTAGTTTAATGTTGGGTCCACACAAAGCTACCATATTTTGTTTTTTCTCTTGAAAAAGGGTTCACATTTTTCCAAAACAATGGAGGCTTACTCTCCATTGGGTATGTCAGCTTTGCTGTAGCTGTAGCTTTAGGAAGTTGTGAAATGCTGAAGACAATTTAAATACTGAAAGGAAAATTTTCCAATTTCTGCAAGAAAGGACAGCCGTATAGTCAGTTTTGAGAGTGATCTGTTCATATAGTTCCAGGTTTTTGGGTTTTTTTATTCTTTTCTGTCTGTTTCCAGTGCCACAAGAAGGGGTACACACTTCCTAAAACAGCTCATGTTTCTGAAAGCCTTTTGTAGACATAATGTTTAATGAAAGAGCCCTGTAGCAGCCAATTAGTAGGCAATGAAAAGTATGTCTGGTTCTAGTGACTTGAATGGTTTTGTTCTATTTTATTGGATTACAAATCATGAGCTGTAGCAAGTATCAAGTGAAAAATCAGCTTTCTCTGAAGTTTCTCTAATACAATTTCTGATAGTTGGACAAAAACACATATTACTGGGGTTTTCTTTAATAGCTAAATATGGCTTGCAGAAAGCTTTTCATTGGAACAGGTGAAAATACTGTTGATACTTTTGTGAAGCTGATATTTTTGAGCTCTTGATTTCTTTGAATAATTCAATTGAAGATTCAAATTAAATTTAGTAATTTCATCACTAAGTTTCAACTCAAGAAAATAGAGTACGTGGAATGAAGGACAGGGCATGTGGCTATACTTTTAATTAACTAAAAAGTCTGTAGATTTCATATTTTTTCTACCATGTAGCAAATACACAAGGGCTAATTCATATATTGAATAAAGATTAGACTTAACAAATTTTTGGCATGTGGAAAGTGAAAGCAAAATGCCTAATACCCTTTTAATTCTTTAATACAATATGATCAAACTCAAGTAATCCTTGCATCCTTAATTCTCTTTTTTTTTTTTTTAGTCTCAGCTTTCTATTTTCCAAACACCCAGGAAGGAAACTTGTCAGCTTAGTAGATGTTCAAGTAGACAAGGAATGCAATTTTATAGCTAAAATCTGAGCAATTTGAAGCTGAACACTTAACAGATGTAATCATGAGAGGAAAATCACTCCTTCGTACTAACTAAAACAAAATTCGTTTCTTATAGTGCAATTTATTGTTTATAATTTCTTCACAATGGTCGTTTTATGTCTTAAGAGAATTCACTAAAATGAGCAGTTTTGTTACGATGACACATAAGCTGAGAACTTTTGACTATTGCCTAGAGTGCAGTATAAATATATTCAACAGTCCATAATGCTTTAAATTGCTGCTTTCCTGTAAAGTAAGACTATGTACTACATATCCTATGCTATCTCCCTGTATGTTTATTTTCATAATTCACTTAAGGTTTATTAATGCCTGGCTTTATGAAACAGTAAAACACCCACTTTTTTCTGTTCCTTCCTGTGTTGCAAAAAGTTATTTGAGGATTTTCTTTCATTTCCACGCCCACCAACATTGTAGTGAAGTCACAGTGGATGGACACAAAGCAAAAACTGACCTGTCCAGAATGAGAGATGAAAGGAGGTAGTCTACACTCAGATATGGAAGCCACTTAGCAGCAGCAGCATGAATATTTTTTTTCAGAGTGCTTCAGGGCAAAAAAAAAATTCTTATGAAAAATCAAGTATGCTAAAAAGAAAAAGGATGAAAAACAAGCGTAAGGAGTGATAAATAAATATGACTGAGGCTACAAAACACTTCTGGTATATTTTTATCTTGGAAGATCTCTAAGGACAGTTGAATAGCAGAGCTGTCTTACCTTTAAATATAGTCAGTATTGATGACCCTTAGGCCATGTCTTGAAAATTGCAATCCTTTATAAAAATACTATTGCTAGAATTAAATATACTCCTAGTTCTTCAGTGCTCCATACTGCAGTATAAGACAAGGAGACAAGAAAGTAAGTTTTAATAAATGTTTGATGCTGTTGTCCTCTAACCTCAATCATCCTCTCCATTTGTTTGCTTACAGAATGTGTTTGCTTTGCTAACATATATCTTTTCTGTTCCATAAAAGCAAATCAAACTTTACAGCCCAAAAATGTTGTGTGAACAGTAAGGGGAAAAAAAAAAAGCCACAACAATTTTTGTATTTATAATCTATTCTTTTCTCTAACAGTATTGGTTACTGTAAGAGCTGGATAGCTGGTGAAAAAAAAAAAACAAGAAACAAGAAAACAAGACTTGGTTTTAACAGTTTGTATTTGTAAATAAGTGACCAAGATTGAAACAGAAATTCTAATGGGAATGTGAAAAAGGAAGACAACCAAAACAGTTGAAAATACAGCACAGAGCAGTGTCCCCACAAGATGGTACTTTTAATAAATTTATCAAGTGTATATAAAAGATGAACATTCAGAATAGGGAGTAGCAGACCCCCTGCAGAAAAGGAACAGGATGGCACATTCTGAGCACTACAATTACTCAGTCACTTTCTAATTAGCTATTGTAGGGAAGATGACAGAATTATATTAAAAACACACCAAGACAGTTTCTGTACAGTTTTTAATGAGTTTGACTAATTAGGGTGACGTCTTCTTAGGAGGGTCATGGATTAGTGCAGAAATCTAAATGTGAGAAGAGGGAGCAGGATGATGCTCAGAGGGCACGCAGGGAAAATATTGCATGAACTGAGCTGCACTACATTCAATTAATCACTTATATAGCTCTGAGTATGTCTGGAATATGCCATGGAGCCTCAACATGAGCATTGATATTGACTCTTACTCATTTTCTTTTTCACTAAGATTGCAATAGCTTCCTTTTCCTATTAAAAGAAAAAAAAAAAACCAAAACAAAAAAACAAAAAAAAAACCCCAGCTCTATGTAGAAGATGCTGTGAAGCCTATATAAAATGAATACACAAATATGTTCCCTTACTCCCAGGGAAGAGAGGAAGAAAAGGAAGTTTAAGCAAATTTTAATTAAATGCCAGTACTCCTAGTTTGCATTGTTAATCTTTGCTTTATTCGGATTGTTCCCAGTGAAGTAATTCCAATGTCTAGCACCTGCTTACCCATAAGAATCTGGGAATTGTTGAGTGCCCCTTTTCAGTAATAGAGGAATCAGGAGATGTCTGGAATAGTAAAGTGGTGGTTTTAGTAATTTTTTATGAGCAGACAGATCCTAGTACATTTGATAGCGCAGTAGCTTTTCCAGAACTGCTTGCTATTCCACTGCCTTGGATTACTGCTTGGCAATGAGTTTGCAGTTTTTTTCCCCTGTTTTTTAAGGTGTTTTGGTTGGTTAAGGGCTTTCTTAAGATTATGGTTCTAACACCAGTAACAGAGTGAAATCACAGAATTTGTGGAAAAAAAATTATCTCTTTTTTTGCATGCTGAAGACTCATACAGATAGCTCTGAAGTTTCTCATAGCTATGTTTCAGCCATTTTTGGATGTTGTAGTAGAGGGAAGTTTCATCATGAAAACAGGAAGAAAATATTTCAAAATTTCTGAACTTTTGCTGGACAAGGTATTTTTTCCCAGTTGTGTTAAAAGAGGGTTTTCATATCACCAGTACTGAAATCCATCTGTTAATTTAGTAAGCTATTTGGGAATCAATACTATAAAAACTATCTCTACCACTTGTTCATAGTTCATATTAAGTGAATTAAATTTTCTTCTGTTGAGCATATTTTCTTTTTCTTTTTTTTTACAGTTCTTCTCCAGAAATAAAGACCATTGGCATCTGAAGTGTTTTCTGACTGTATGTCTGTCATCTTTGTGTTTTTTATTCACAGTTCCCACTGAAAATGTTGCAACAATTGCAGACTGTGCCAGTGTGATTGAGGGTGTAAGTCGCAGTCGCAATGCCTTATTGAATGGAGACACAAAAAACTATGATTGGGATTCTGGATACACATGCCACCAGCTTGGGAGTGGAGCTATTGTAGTGCAGCTGGCACAGCCCTACATGATTGGATCAATACGGTAAAAGGATTTATTTTTCTCTAAACTGGGGGCCACAGGGGAATTTTTGCTGAGCATTTATTTTCTTTAGAATGCATGACATCTCGAAATTACATTAATTAGGGGGCTAGTTCACTAGTTGTCATTTGGCTTCTTTACTTCAGTATTACAGGCATGTTAAAAATTAAATATGTTAATTATATGTCAAGATACATGAATGCAATTCCAGAAGATACTGTGTTTAGGTATAAAAGAAGCATAACAGCAGTAACAGTCAAATTATAAGATTAAAGTTATATACGTATTTTAAAATAGAATTTAATTGCTGTCTCACTTATGGTTAGGTAGGTACAGTTACTCTTATCCACTTCATTCTGAAAACAATTTTCTTGAAGAAAATCATCATGTCAAGTCAGCTGGGCTTCCTTTTTGATATACAATTAGTGCTAGTTCTGACTTAAACATGGAGGGTGTAATAAAGGTACAGCAACCTGAATATTGATTTACAAGGCTGGATTAGTCAATTTGGTTTGGAGTTCATTGGGCTGTTTCTACTGTAAATGTGCATATACATATGAAGATCAAAATTTTGGCTGATGTAGAGACTTAGAAAATGGATAGGAGAGTGGAATTTTCCACAGGTGAAAGGAAAAATATTCTTGCCAATTTCAGATTCTCTGACTATTAATGTTTTGTGTGTTTGTTTCATAAAGTCATACATACAAAACCTTACCTTAATGCCATCATGGTCTTTGTAAATTTAGACTATGTAGTCAGGGACTTAATTTGTATGCTCTGTGACAGTGAAATAAAGATTTCTGAAGTTCAGAAGTACCAGTGATCAAAGGCTGAAATCCCAGGTGAGTACAGGCTTGCAGCAAGGACCATGTACATTGTAAGTATTTCTAGGAGCTCAGTGCCTTCCCCCTGTTAAGAGCTGCTAAGTGAGATTTGAAAGCTCTTTTATAACTGCCAGTTTCTGGTCTGTGTGGTTTGGTTTTGGCCTGTGGCATTGCTATGATGATTGTAAAACTTTGAAGAAAAAGTTTGACATCAGACATCCAGGCAAATCCCTAACCCAACAAGAGTAGTGTTCTGTGTGTATGCAAGCTGTAGATGTTATGCATAATGCAAGTCTGGCATTGTTCTCATTGTGTGAAACAAGTTGAGTAAGTGTGGTTGGCAACTTCCCACAGTTATTTGAGTTTGATGTTGTTAATATTCTGTTAAATACTGCATCTCAAGTAGAAAACCAAGCAGTACTTAGACTGAAAATGCAATTCCATCATTTTCATAACACTTTAACCTTAAGTAGCAGTTAAGGCTTTGGCCATATAAAAGAGAAGAGTATACTAAATGAAATGCATAGTTTCTCAGTTTCTTTGTCTTCCTGTATTACTGTTTGCTGTTATCCTTCAATTGATGCATTGTACCATCTTTTCCAGTTAGTGAAAAAAACCTGACTTCCCTGTAATAAATGATATGCTGTTGTTTATTCTTGTGCAGAAGATTTTTAATAAGTTTCTTTATTAAATAGTGTGTTAGGTGAATTAAACTTTTGGTTGCCAAGAAATGATAACTGTGTAATCAGCAAGCATGTAGAGCAAACTAAAAAAAATAACCCAAATGTTACATAATTCAAAACTAATAGGCATTTAGTGATTTATGTGATATTGAATTGTACAGCAGCAGGCTCAGAATCTCATCTTTCTTTGTCAGTTTTCCTGCATGTATAGTACAAACAAGATTAATAGCTTGCTTTACAAAAATAACAATAATAAACATCATAGTCTGGGGTATCTTCTGTCAGAGGATACTACCTGCATTTCCTAGAGACAGAAATGCTAGCAGCATGTTGTTTTTCCATTTTTGTGTACTGCCTAGAAGAACACTTGCTTTGAGTTGCAGCCCTATCTATTGCAGGTCATAGGTAGCAAAGGGAAGCTGCTCCTTGGGGTGGGGAAGTGAAGATTCACTCTGTGTCATCTACAACTTGGCAAGGGTCTGGAACAAGTTCTGTATTTTGCAATGCTGAAGATTGTGACGATGGTCTCTGCAGCATCAGGAGATCTATATTTGGTACAGAAATCAAATAATATGAAAACTTAGATGACAGCAGAAAGTCTTAGTATTTAATCTTAATGGAAGCAAGAAAATTTTTTTTGTTAACAGAATGTCTGCCTCAACTGATGGAACTGTATTCGCTGCCTGTTTTCCTGCTGTTTGCTTGTTTGAAAACTCCCTTGATCTCATGCTGCCACCTAAGAGAAAAAAATTCTAGGAGCATTTGCTTTAGGCTGGCAGTACACCATGACTACAGAATTACATGAATTCTACTACCCTCAGAAATTGAGTCATTATGCCCATGGGTTTGGATTTTACGTGAATAATTAGGAATTAAAGTATGTACCTTTTTGTTCAGAAACACAAATGTGCCATTGAATGTATTTATTTCAGAGAGGTTAAATATATAAACCTTTTAAAAAAGATAGTAGCTTCTTTTAGTCTATAGAAATGGGAATATCATTGGAGAGGGCCTCCAAGACATAGTATGTTACCATGGCAACTAAATTCTGAGTATGAAAAAACCCAGAAGAACTATTGTTACTCAAATATGCCTTAGAAATGCATAGAGTTGAATGTTTCAGGAATATATATTGTATGCTTGCTTTCTGCCAAAGTCATTCCAATGTCTAAGAATCTTAGCACCCTTTAGGTTGGAAGGGACTTGAGGAAGAAGATATCTAGCATCATGTTATTTTTCGGAGGGCCAGTTATGAAAAAAGACCATCCTCATGAAGGCTTTATGCACACAAGTCTTGAAAATTTCCAAGGCAGGAAATTCCACAACTTCTCTGGGTAGCCTTTGGTAACCTGCTCTCAGATATTGACAGGTGCTGTTAGGTTCCTCCCCAACCCTAAGCCTCTCCTTAGTCTTAACAAGCCAGCTTCCCCAGTCTCTTGCAGAGGGTGTGTGCTTCACTCATGAACATTTTGATGATCCTCTGCTAGAATTGCTCAGATGTATCAGTGTTCTATTTGGATCCAAAAAGGGATTCAGTATGCCAGGCATGATCTAACAAGTGTCAAGTACAAAACAATAATCTCTTTCCATTGTTTTGTTGGTTCAGTTCCTGTTACTCCAGCTCCGTATGTTTCTAGCCTGGATTGCTGAGAAGGTGCACAGGCAACTAATGGCATCTGTTCAATTTGACTCAGACCATATTAAACCTTAGTTAATATTGAATACTTTTTCATGTATTTCTATATGAATTTGGACCTCTTGGTTTCTGCCCCAAAATTTACTCAGAAATTTTGAAAGACATCTAATGACAATAAGTACTCAATATTATTTTCCAATAGAGAAAACATGGAAAACGTGGAGATTTCAACCCATCCCTTTCGATTCAAATTATCCTATGATCCTATGGGGTATTTTTTAAAACAATTGTTACTAAATATGGTCTTTTAGTTTATGAAATTTAAAAAAAATATTTAGGAGTTTTATTCTTTTGTTAGTTCTCAGAACAGCTTACAAGACATTTGGAACAGAGTAAATATTAAAGTGTTTTTCCACATAGTTGCCTGTCTGGACACAAAATATTCTCCTTTTAGTCCCTGAAAAGGCCCTTATCAGTGGCAAGAAAAACAGTAGTATTTAATTAGGAACAGAAAGACAGCTGCTGGTGTGTGCAACATAGTAAACATAATTATTTTTTTAATGGCTAAAACGTGAATATTACAGCAGATGCCATTTCACAAGAACTTTATGTTGAATTCTCCCTGCATTTATCTGTAGTAGAAATATAGTACTATTATGCTACAGTCTTTAGCTGATTTTTCCTATAAATTAAGAAAAGAAAAAAAAAATATTTGTTACAGCATATGTGGTAGAGATGGAATTCTATGCCATAGTGGTTTTCCTGTTAGAATAAATAGAAATATTTTTTGTCTTTAGGAAAGTGTATTAACTGCTTATCCAACTTTTATCTTACTGAAAATTTAGTGCTAGTGTGAAAATTACAGCTTTTCATCTTCACAATAATCCTTAAATTAACAAACCGTATCATTGAACTTGAATGTGTTTTCTGTTTGCTTATACCATCATCATATGTATCTCTTATGCTTTCTGATTTTCCATATCACTTCCATTTATGAAGCTTTTATTTCTCTGCTGCTCATTTTATGTGCTTGCCTGACTTGAGAGTAAAATCAGGACTCAGAATGAATGCTCATAGGAACACTTAGAAAATATGCCAAAATTTTGTCTCCTTTGTAGGATCTTTATAGGAAGAAAGACTGTTTTCTTTCAGGGCGACTACTGAAACATAAATATCTGCACAAAATTGAAGGGGTTTGTAGACAACCAGAGGCAAAAATACAGCAACAATTGTATAAAAACATCCTTGCATGTGGAAGGATTTTCTTTCTTTCTCTTTCTCATTCAAGATGTGTCACTACCTCATGTTTTAATTTCTGTCTTTTTGGGCTTATTCAAGTAGTTTATGAAAACTGCACTGTCAGATATTTACCTTTATGTTCTCTATAGTTACTTACAGTACTCCAAAGCAGGTGCTGTCAGGTGCACAAGTAAAATTGGTATTCTGCTAGCACCTTGAGTATATGTAGTTATACAGCTGTCTGAGCTATACAGTGACAATATTTTATACAGAAATCTAAAAATAAAAAGTAAGCACAGACAACAAAAATTATTTTTAGAAATGCAGAACATTCGATCACAGAGAAACACATGACATTTAGGCACATACTGTGTAAAAAAGTACTGCAGCATTTTTTTTTTTGTAACAGTTAGCCAATATAGTAATTTCCTATGCCTGCAATGTGAAGTTTTATTCATATTTGAAAAGCTTTTATTTTATAAAGTGAGGCATTGTGAACATGTGATGTAAACAACATCATATTAAATGATTCACAGGCTTAGACTCCAGATACTCAAAAAAGAAATATGTTTAAATCTCAGTGTTGCAGGGTGTAAGCTGGATAAATCTTCACTCAATTTT